CCCCCTAACTCAAGGCCCCCTCCAATTTAGGTTTTCACTAAATGTTTTAGTAAAATTTGGGAAGGTAGCTTCTATGACTTGGCAGTTACATTCGGTCCCTCCTGTTTTCTCTTCAAAGACATTCTGTCTTCTCTATCCTTCCTTTTTCTGTTCTTTGAAGTGAGGACAGCAGGTCACCGTGAGGATTATAGACATACAAACCTTTGCACATTTCCTGGCCCGGCGCTATTTACTGCTACTATTTCTACTCTGCTTCTCCTTCTATTTACACTCTGGTTTCTTGCTCCTAGAGATCAACTTTAGATCCCGAGTGTCTAAAACGAATGAGCGTAAACCAAACAGAACAAGAAATTTAGCGCTGATATCACATGTTTTAGAAGCCGGGGCTGTCTTTGGTCCCACAGCAGAGATGTGATCTGCTGCGTGCGTCTGTGGCTGAACCCAAGTTCAGGGGGAAACGCCCTTGGCCTGGGGATCAGCAGGGCCATGTACCCTGCGCCTCCACATTTTATATCTGTAGTGAATGGATTACTCTCTGAGGCTTCGTCCCTTCTAAAAATGATCATCATCTTACGTTCTGGATGTTTTGAGGTTTTGCGGTCCCTGTAGGAAGGAACCTGGGAAAAGTCCTCGTCATTTGCGTATCTGCGTGAAGTGTTTTCTGGAAGGTTCCCCCGTTCACGCTCAGGTGGAGCTGATGACCTGGTCCTCCAGTAATGATGATGAGACAGAATAAAACAAATACTCCTTTCCTGCATAAAGGCATCCCCCCCCCGCCGATGCTTAACCCTTAACCCCTTATGCTAGTGTTCAGATGGCACGGAGGGAATATCACTTCACTTGCCGCTGAAATACAGCCATCTCGGGAGTGAAATTTGGCAGCTGAGTAATAGTCAAGCTGCAGTACTTACATGACAGTTTGGGGAAAGGAGCGAGACAGAAATAGCAGATTCCAAAATAATCCAATTAAAACAGCAGGAGAGCAGAGTTGGGCGGCAAGGAGGGAGGGGTGGTACGCCGGAGTCGGATCATCGCTGCGCCTGAGAGAGGGTGGCCGGCAGCTCTAGAAGCTCTATGCTGACCGCAGTGAAGACTCTCCTTCACACACGCCAAAGAGGGGTCTCACCCGATGTCCCATTAAGCTGTCATCTGGGGATTTTCTCTCTCTCTCTCTCTCTTTTCCTACTGGTCTAATTATCAGGTTGTGTTGGCACAGAAATGGATCTGTCTGTTTAGAGCTACTTTTTCCTTTTGCCCTCCCGCGTAGGATTATGTCATGTTCGGCATTTATGACATCAGAATGTTACTACGCAGAGAAGTTCTGTTAAGGCACCTTTTGAATGGCTCAGGAAGGATGAGCTGGCAAACAACCCTTCTGTTTAATTCAAGGGTCTTTGTAATAACAGTGGCCAGAAAGGAAAATTCCAGAACTGTGCATGCTAGACAAAAGCAATTGAATAAAAATGTAGAATTCCTTATAGTTTTTTCTGGGGTGGAAGTAACCACTGTGATAACTATTAGAATAAGAACATGGAGGGGCGCCTGGGTGGCTCAGTTGTTAAGCATCTGCCTTTGGCTCAGGTCATGATCCCGGGGTCCTCTCCTCCTGCTTGTGCTCTCTCTCTCGCTCAAATAGATAAATAAAATCTTAAAAAATAAAAAAAAGATCAAGTGAGGTCGTGCATAAGAAATGTTTTGTGAACTCTGACTCCCATTCCATGCTGTTTCTGTCGATGTGCACCGTGCTTACCGTATGGGGAAGGCGTCAGGGGCGGTGATCACCTATGAGGATATCCCCTGGGGAACCAGTCATGGACAGGAAAAATCTATTGTGAAAACATTTAAAAATATTCATGAATTATTATTTTTTTCCTGCTACCCATTTTTTTTTTCTGGCCCAGACATCCTTCTGTGTGTATGGGACTTTTCCAAAAATTTTCCAGGGAGTTCCGTCACAGAGTTGTCCACTCTCCGTTGGGCTTTACACCACATCATTTTGTAGTAAATTTTTTTCTCTGAGTCAACGTTGAATAACAGCCTAACGAAAAGGAATGCTCTCTTCCTTCATTTAATAATGCTCCTTTCCGGAGGTCCGGGGAGAGATGGGGCGGGGTGGTCAGTGGGCTAGGAACAAGAGGAAGGTAAGTAGGATGCTAAAGGAAGAAGGCTTGAAGCGGGAAAGGTGAAACGAGGTAAATCTTCACCAAGTGTCTCCTTGGCTTCTGTCTCTTAATCACAGACGCCATGAAGTATCTTCTTGGCTTTCTTTCTTTCTTTCTTTCTTTTTCTTTCTCTCTTTTTTTTTTTTTTTTTTTAAGCTTTCTATCTTAATCTCCTACCAAAGGTAACAAAAGGAAAGCCACTGGATTGCATGCTGGGTGTGTGTCGTGCTCACGGACATGTCAGGCAGCCGAGCAAGCTAGATTTCTAAGTGGATATGAACATGGGGATGAATCCGCATGCCTATGATCCTGTTTGTGTGCGCAACCGTGCATACGTGCGTGGGGATGGCCACAGATGCAACGCACAGGTGCATCTGTTGTGTATACCCTAACATGGAAAAGACACATTGACAATAATTAGAAAGGGCGATAGGAAACGTCAGCATTTACTGTTGCAACCAGAGTGCGTGATGTAACATTGGTTGTGCAGGAGAGCCTTTGCTTATTCATCATTTAGAACAATAGTAGGAGTTAAATATTAACAGGTTTCAGTGTCAAGAAGTGTCTAAAAATACAAATTCTCTATTGTTTGCAGCTCTTGCAATAAGGCAGGGTATTTTTGTGCATTAGATGCGTCTCTGCTTGCTGTGAGTCCAAAATGCTTTGGATAAAGAATGTTACAGAGTGTAATTTGTGACAGAAAATGTGCCCCGACTGTTTGTTTATTATTCCTGAGGATGTTTGCAGGTCTGAACTATCACACGCAGAAAAGAACAGCTTTGTTTGAAAAATACAGTAGGAGCGGTACAAGAAAATTGAATTAAGTAAAGAAACTTAGAGAGTCCATCTTTGATTGATGATGCTTCTTATTTGCTCTTCATTATTCCCTGTGAAGGCACAAAAACTATGAAATTGGATTTGGAAACTGGATTAAGACAAATGGCTCCTCAGATTTTTTTTTACCTTAGCTCTTTCCAATTTTCTTAGTAAAGCATATAGTCACTGTATAAAGAGTCCATGTTTACTACATTAAATCGTCCTAAAAATCATGCCCCTGAGGTTTGATTTTAAGAATTAGTTTAGAAGATGCAGAGGGGGGCACCTGGGTGGCTCAGTCGGTTAAGCGGCTGCCTTCGGCTCGGGTCATGATCCCGGGGTCCTGGGATCGAGCCCCGCATCGGGCTCCCTGCTCAGTGGGGAGCCTGCTTCTCCCTCTCCCTCTGCCTGCCTCTCTGCCTACTTGTTCTCTCTATCTCTCTGTCAAATAAATAAATAAAATCTTTAAAAAAAAAAAAAAAGAAGATGCAGAGGCAGGGTGTACCTGCTGTGTTATGGTATTTGTCTCTAGATACTTTATATGCCCACTTATTTTTATTATTATAGAGCAATGGAGTAAAAAGGGAACGGAATACTGTTTTTCTTAAGGAAGTTTTTTCTGCCTATCACCCTGCTCTTCTCTCACTAGGTAGAGTTTAATATATTCCCATTTGAGCTCTTGCATTACTCCTCCAAATACTTTTATCAGGGACTTGTAGATATACACCCGAGTCTCTGTGGACTAGTCTGCAAACCCCCTGAAATAAGAAATTTTTATTTTGTTGTAACTCTGGCACCTAAGACAAGGCGACGAACATTATTTGTTGAGGGACTGAATCAGTCAGTCAATGAATGAGTCAGACACCTACCGTGTCCTTATCATTGTCTTAGACACGAGGGGAGATGAATAAGAAGTATAAGACATGGTCACATCTCTGCTGTGGTGCAGCATAAAATCTAGCTGGGGGTTAGAACAGCATGCGTGATGAAGTAATAGCGGACTACAACCCAAAGAATAAAATAAATCTCCATGAGTCCATATTGATATAACTAAATAATTGAATAAATAAGTAAGTAGGGCAAAAGAATTCTCCTTACGGAAGAATTCCAATAAGTAAACAAATAAATGAGAGGCTTAGAAGCCACAGCATTGTTCCACTGATGAATGCTAGAATTGGTGGGTGAAAGATTAAGCAGAAACAGGGTATTTGTAGCATTTTAAAGTATCTCCCTCCAAAATACTTAGTAAATTACAAAAAGAAATATGTAACTCTACCTGGAGAATCCTGAGAGACTCGCCTTAACTAAGTGATTAAGTTTTAACATCGCCAATAATACATACTGACATTGGGTGCCCCTTCGTGGGAAATGCTGAGAAGGACGCATCATTGCTGTGGTGTCCTTCCCACTCCTGTGTAATCCCACTGTCATCAAGAGAAAATAGCCAACCCCAGTTGAAGAACATTCTAGAAAAACAGCTGATGAGGAGTACTCTTCGAAAATGTCATGGTCTTAAAGATGAGGAAGGATTGAGGAACTGCACAGATTGGAGGAGACAGGATGTGTCCATGCCCTGTGAAAACCTAGAGGGGCTCCTGAAACAGAAAAAGGACGGGAGTGGAAAAAGTGGTGAAATCCTAATCCTAATAAATTCCATGATTTAGTTGGTAGTGTTGACCAAGCTTAATGTTCTAGTTTTGATCATTGTCCCATGATTATGTAAGACTTGAACATAAAGCCTGGTGCTGGGGACAAGGCATTGCCTCAGTACTATTTTTGCAACTGTCTATAAATCTAAAATTATCTTTATGAAGATCCAGCTGAGGACACAGTACCATTCCCCAAGAGGCAATTACAGAGCAATACATGACAGTATACAACCAAGAATTTGCAGTGGGGGGGGGGCAAGTGTGGGTCAGTGAGTGTTGAGAGGAAGGGGGTATGGCTGGGGGAGAGGGGTCAGGATGAGTTTCATAGGAGAAGCACCTTGAAAGGAGGTGTAGAGATGATGGGTGGGACAAACAGGGATCAGTCTGGGGGGCACCTGGGGGGCTTAGTTGGTTGAGCGTCCGACTCTTGATTTCAGCTCAGGGTCGTGAGATCGAGTCCCATGTCAGGCTCCGTGCTCAGTGGCGAGTCTGCTTTAAGATTCTCTGTGTCCCTCTCCCTCTGCCCCTTCCCCCCCTGCGCACTCTCTCTCTCTCTAATAAATAAATTAATATTTAAAAAAAACAAAAAACAGGGAAGGGTCTAGGAGCAGGGACAGCAGGGACAAAGACTGGAGGGAGGGATGCAGACGGCCTCTGTGGGATAGGTGGAGAGGCTGGCCGAGGGTTGTGTGCATTGTTGCTGGAGATCAGTATGAAAGGAAGCTGGGCCCCTGTGGGGAGGGCGGAGTAGAGGACCACTGAGATGTGGCATCGGAGTTTGAAGTTCATGGGGCAGGTGACACGGTTCCAAATTCTTGCTTGAGGAAGTGACACAGTGAGATGGTACATATATAAAATTGGCGAAAGCATATCCAGGTGGCTGGGACTCGGGAAGGATGAGGGCAGGTGAGTTAGGAATGAGAAATAGGTAAGGAGGCCTTGCAGATGCCTCCCAGCAATGGTCCATCCCATTGTGTTTTTCAGTGTTGCAGTGAGACAGTGAGCCCTTGGGCTGCGTTTCCTTTGAGTTGTTGGCAGACAAAGTTCCAAAGACAGCAGAGAATTTTCCTGCTCTGAGCACCGGGGAGAAAGAATTTGGTTATAAAGCTTCCTGCTTTCACAGGATTATTCCGGGCTCTCTGTGCCAGGGTGGTGACGTCACTCGCCATCATGGCACGGCGGCTGGTCCATCTGTGGGGAGAAAGCGGATGATGAGAATTTCATCCTGAAACACACGGGTCCTGGCGTCTTGTCCATGGCAGATGCTGGACCCAACACAAATGGTTCCAGGGTTTTCGTCTGCACTGCCAAGACTGAGTGGATGGCAAGAGTGTGGTCTTTGGCAAGGTGAGCAAGGGCAGGAATATTGTGGACACCATGCAGTGCTTTGGGTCCCGGAGTGGCAGGACCAGCAAGAAGATCCCCATTGCTGACTGTGGACAAATCTAATAAATTTGACTTCCGTGTTATCTTAAGCACCCGACCATTCCTTCTGTAGCTTGGGAGAGTACCCCGTCACCCATAACTGCTCGAAATGTCCTATAATCTTTGTGTTCTCACTACAGTTCTGCGGATCCATATTTTCCTTACTCCCCTCCAAGTCTAGCTGGATTGCAGAGTTAAGTTTATGATAAAGAAATAAAAAGCAAACAGCAACAGACCTCTTCTCATAAGAGGTCATGAGACGCTATTCATCTGGGGCCTGGGATGGCGAGTCAGAAAAAAGAAGCGATAGCCTATCTAAAAGCATTTGAAGAGGTAGACTTGCAGAACTTAGTGATGGATGGATGTGGGGCATGAAGAAGGAGGAGTCAAAGATGATTCCCGAGTCAGGCTTACAGGACAGATAGGTGATGTGGGTGTCTGTAAGTGAAATAATTCCTTCAGCAGATATTTGAGGGCCTACATTGGGGGATTATGTATTCTAGGCAAAGAAGGGGGATGAAAAAGCTGCCAAGGAAACATGAGCAGAAAAAAGCCCATGGCTTGAGCTGGACTGAATGGCTTCATAGATGACCAGCTCAGACCCACCTACTGGGGGGAGGGGGTGGTGGTCCCTGTCCTCCAAATGAAAAGAAGGGAAGGGATTGAGGGGATTGTTCTCTTCCCAACAGCAACCATGAACAGTGTTAGGATATTTTTTCAAGTTGGCATTTCTCTATGCTTAATAAAGATGTCAAGCCTACCGTTCAGAGTCTACTCACCAAAAAAACCTATTAAATCACCATTCTGCTTAGGAAAAGCCCACACATACTCTTTTAACTCTGCCAAGATAGAGATCTCTGGATCCCAACGGTCTCAAACACGAAAGTTAAAATACCATAAAAGCACAAGGAACTTTACAGAAGAAATAGAAAAATAAGCTGGTGTGCTGAAGTTTCTTTAGACACTATGTCTTTTGGACTTGGTTATATAATGGTGCCCATTGAGCAGACTCTTGGTTAATGTTCTTCTGGACAGATTAGGCTATGTTATTCTTCTCTTGGCTTGCCCCTTCTCTGTGTTACTTGGCAAAGGGTTTCTGTATCCTTTATTCCTTTGTTTTCATCATTTATTTCACAATTTTCCACTTCGGCTTCAAAGATGACTATATATATGCATGTATATATATATATATACACACACACACACACACATATCCATAAATGTATGTGTGTGTATATATATGTGTGTATATATATATATGTGTGTGTGTGTGTGTCTATATATATATATATATATATATATATATATATATATATATATTTTTTTTTTATCTCTGCAACAAGCTGGTAGCCTCCTCATCAGTAGCTATGAGCTGTTATCCCACACAGTCGGAATCAGTCTTGGGGCTTGGGTAACGTCAGGATAGGGGCAGAAGAGTGGGTGTATTCACTTTGTGCCCACTTGGACTTATGCATCTGATTATGGCTGGTAGAAATTGGATTTACGTGTTAAAGGTCTTTGCATGCAGGTCTTTGAAGATTTCCATTCCTCTCACAATCAACATTTTAAGTTATGTTTCTTAAAAATTGAGTTCTTACCCCTTTTTTTTTCTAAAGATTTTATTTATTTATTTGAGAGAGAGAGAATGAGAGACAGAGAGCACGAGAGGGAAGAGGGCAGAGGGAGAAGCAGACCCCCTGCTGAGCAGGGAGCCCGATGAGGGACTCGATCCCGGGACTCCAGGATCATGACCTGAGCCGAAGGCAGTCGCTTAACCAACTGAGCCACCCAGGCGCCCACCCCTTTTTTGATATCATCCAATGGTTAGACAAAAATAGACAATAAATAGACATTTTATTGAGAATAGGAAACTGAAGAGCACGTTAACTCCTTTTATGGTTAACTGTACATGGAAACTGCTTGGTATTCTTACAAGCGTGCAGTTGTGGTGGGTCTGATTCTAGTCCAGAATGAAGCGTTGTGTATCACTTTGGCAGCATGTAAACTTCAGCTCCAATATCTTCTTGATGATGAGAGCTCTCCATGAACTATGAATTGGCTACGGTATATTTAAAACATGGTTTAAATGGCAGTCTGTTTCATAATACGAATAGATGTTTTGTGTAGAATTAAAAAGAAATGACATCTTTCATAGAGTGGATATTGGCAGTGACACTCTATGGAGTGACCACGAGGTGCCCTCTATGTTCAAACTCAGGGGATGAAGAATCTTTTTTTTTTTTTAAGATTTTATTTATTTATTTGACAGAGAGATACACAGCAAGAGAGGGAACACAAGCAGTGGGGAGAGGGAGAAGCAGGATTCCTGTGAGCAGGGAGCCCGATGAGGGGCTCGATCCCAGGATCCCGGGATCATGACCTGAGCCAAAGGCAGATGCTTAACGACTGAGCCACCCAGGCGCCCCAAATAATCTTGTTATGGTCTTTGCATGTACTTCAGTATCTTTTTCATAGGGAGCATAGTTCTAAATTGTAATTATAGTCAATGGTTCTATCTAAAGGTTCCATCTAAAGGTACTTTTTTTTTTAGAGAGAGAGCATGAGTGAGGAGGGTCATTTAACCTAGCGGAGCTTTCAGAAATGCAACAAAGAGATGAGGGTGGAGACTGCCAGAAAATTGCCGTGGAAGAAGCAAGCATAGAAAGCCAAGTTTTAGGAATGAACAAAATTGAAGTTCTATCTTAATTTAGAGTTTGCACCGTACCCTGTAACATTCAATAATGTAGTAAGGGGCATACATACAGAGTAAGAGGTAGCATGGTTATGGGTTCCTTCCTTCTTCACTGTCATCTTTTCTTCTCTAGTTTTCTCTTCATCCCTTCCCCATGAAAAGTAAAGTGAATAAACAAGAATGAAGTGAGCGGGCTGTTTTAACGGCGTTTCACATGATGTCACTTCTGTGAAATTTGTCATAACAAGAATATGATCCTAGTTTTCTTATCCAGTACACATACTTTTGCGACCCTAACCTACTTATGAAATCTGCAAATAGTTGGAAAAAGACTTCTCAAGAAGGAGAAGAATGACCGACAAAACAATCCTACCCTTGACTCTGCGGATGAGGCCCTGAGATACCCAGAGCCCCGAAGGCCAGGCAGGGCACTGAGAGTAAGGTTAATGATGTAATGAGTTCACTTACCCGGTTCCCCAAGTAGATTAAAAGGAATAAGGGGGCTTTTGAGTGTTAACTATATTGACCACAGTGAAGGAAGTGGAAAAACTGGAAGCATTATAAAATCTCAGCGGGGGTGGGGCCATTCATTTTAAGAGACAGACCAACCTAGTGCATTATTCAGGGTAGGTGAACATAAAGGACCTTTTCCTGAGATGCACAAAGAGGAGAAGGCACAGAGAGCAAGAATGGTGCATTAAGAACCGCCACCTGGTGAGCGTTAACTTCCAGGATTCACAGTTGAGGGTGGAGGTATCCACAGGGTGGAGATCCCCAGACCCAAGAGTCCTTCCATCTCATGGCTCAGCCATTCCCTAAGGTCACTGGGAGACCTGGAGGTTCCTCTGCAGCAGCTGGGGGGGAAGAGAAAGAGTGAAAGATCTCACTGGAGATTTATTAATGGAAGAGGCGTACATCACTCTCTTTCACGTTCCGTTGGCCAGACTTAGTCAAATGGACATACGGAACAGCCGGGAAAGGGGGGAAGTGCCAGCCTCTAATGCCTTGGGAGGACAAGGAAGCGGGTTTGTGGAACCCTAACCAGCCTCTGTCACTAACCAGCCTCACTGGGTACCTTCTTGAGCCTGATGTCGTCCTTTACCTCCATCCCAGCCGCACCCTCGGGCATACCTGGGTGAGTACCCAGTTATTTGCAGAACACCACAGCTCTGTCCCAGGAAAATCAAGAGCCCACTGAGTCAGCGTGTCAGGACTCATTATTCTTCAGCCCATCTTCCTCTGGACACCCACTCCCTGATGTTCTCTTCAGTGGGAAAAAGAGCAAGCAATCATGTGTGGCTCCACATGGAAAGGCAGGGAACCTTCTAAATACCGCCACTAGGAGATGGCACCCCCGTCACCATCCTGGGCTTTAATCTGTGCCCATTGGTAAGGCAACTGCTTCTCCTTAAGTTCTTCCAACTTTCTTCCTGGGTCCTGTTCCTGTTAATCTAACTCAATTCCAAAGGAATTCCTGAAATTATCCCAGTCCTTCCAAATGTCTCATTATCTGTGTTCTGTACTCAGAGCTTGGTTTATTCCTACTGCACTCTCCGGAGATTGTATCTCCCACCAAACTCTGAAACAAGTGTTTACTGAACTAAACTCTCCGTAAGTTTTAGTCAGTTATCTGAGCACAAGACTGGGAGTTTGGGGAAGGGGGGTGAGGGTTAACTATATAAAATTATTTTGGTGATCTATTCCATGGTTGGGATGAAGTGTTTAGATAGAGGGGGTGGAATGAAAGTGGAGCCAGGAGGCAGTCTATAAAGAGAGGCAGGCAGATGCCAGAAAAAACTTTGGAAGGTCCAGGTGAGGAAGGAGAAACCTTCTTCCCACCTCCTCTTGATTTTTGCCCCTGGTGTTCCCTGCTCAACATAGGGACAATTTGTTTGAGAGCTGTTAGTACTAGAATTGGTCAACGTTATGGGTTTAATAGCTCTTGTTTGCCTTCCTACAAAACGAAGCACTATTTATAAACTTCGCTTCTCTGAGAAAATGGGTTTGGAGTTCCAACCAACTGACTTACAAATGAACTTTCTGTGCACAGATCATTCATAAATTGAGGACAGCCTGTACTGGGCTTGTAACCCAGAGATAACATTTATCAGTGCTTTATCAGTATGGGCTTGTCAAGTTAACTTATGTTTACTCTTTTCTGCATTCATTTTGATGATAGCCTTGCTCTTAAAATTTAATACCGTCTTTATGTTTGGAGAAACATTTCCTTTGGAGGTGCCTCAAATATTCTCATGAATTGGAATAGCGATTTTATTTTATCTACCAATTTATCTTTAGTACGATTCATGGCTATGAAAGTCTTTTGCCCAGGGAGTCTGTAAATTGTAGAAAAATTGAGAACTATTTTAAGGAAGTGGGGGAAAAAAAGAATTCTTTGCTCATATTACCCCGGGTTGTCAGATATCTTGCAATATAATTACTGTGTTGGTTTGTAAAGGTTAAAGAACGCTGAAGTTTATAATTCTCTTTTGTGTATGTGTTCCACACATACACGGGAAAAATCCAGCACATCAAAGCAAAATGCCTTGCTAACATCAAAGTTCTGAGCAGTTTATAGTTTGTTGACACAGAGACATAATTCACGGATTTTACATTTGCTTTTACAAATATCTGATGAATCAGTTATTTGCTCCAAGGAGCCAATTTTGCAGATGACAAACCTTGTTTATTTCAAATCTGTTTATGGGTGTAATGCCTGCACAGAACTACTCTTGCTGGCATCCTATTGTAAAGCAAAAAGGTAGAACCCTGGGACGCCTGGGTGGCTCAGTCGGTTAAGCGTCTGCCTTCAGCTCAGGTCATGATCCCAGGGTCCTGGGATCGAGTCCCGCATCGGGCTCCTTGTTCTGCGGGAAGCCTGCATATCCCTCTGCCTCTGCCTCTCTCTATCTCTCATGAATAAATAAATAAAATCTTTAAAAAAAAAAAAAGGTAGAACCCTGGTCTTGGAGCTGCTCCTTCTTAGGGAGCTTACTATCCATATACAAGCGAAAAATTCTGTTAGCCGAGCAGCTGACAGAATATGATCACAAATGTTACTGATGCTCTTCTGTTCGGAAGCAGAAATAGAATGCCCAGGATGGTGCAAGCTTGTCATAGTTAGATTGTCAGGGTGATGTCCTGTTGCATTAAAAAGAATACTTTGTTCCCCCCTCACGCATACACCCCTGCACTGGTAAGAAACTGTTTCAGCTGTTACTCCGATTTGCACTTGAGGCTCAGATTCTGTTGCTAGTGTAGTTAAAATTTAGTGACTAGCAGTCAGGTTTAATGGTCTTCCCCTTCTGTTTAAATCCGTACTGTGGCCCTAGTTGCTGGAAACATTTCCTTTTAGTTTCAAGTTTTATGCATTTTGTTGTATCTTTTGCTGGTTTTTCTTTAGTCAAAACTATGAGAACAATGTTGATGTCATGATCTTTCTGTCCTCCCCCTCCCCAGTCTGCAATCACTTTCTCCCAAATTGCCCTCAT